CATTAAATTAATTCAGAAACTAACTGTTCCTGATGAAAGCTTCCTATACCCATACCTTTTTGGATTTTTCTTGTTTTGAAATTCCTAGCGGTGGCCGACGCTAATGTTAAATCTCCATAGGCGTTGACCCTACCTTTGAGTGAAATCGAACAATATCTGAATTTCGACCAATTTGAAGCCTCCATATTGTTGGTATGGCAACGAAACATATGCAGTTGAAGTTGCAGTCCCCTAATACCCCTATATACCAATTTTCATAACAATCAAACAATATCTAAATTTCGACCAATCAGAAAGCCTCCGTGTGGTTGCTATGAGGTTGCTATGCGGTTAAATTCGCAGTCCCCTAAAACCCCTATATACCATTTTTTATCAAAATAGAACAACATCGTATCCATAGTCGCAAAGATGCATAAAAAAATGACCGCAATGCCTTTATAAACCTACATACTAAATTTGAGGGAAATCGAACAGTTTCGACCAATTAGAAGTCTCTGTGTGGTTGCTATGGCAACGAAGGTATGGGATTGAATTTGCAGTCTTTAAATACCCCCGTAAAACAATTTTCACAAAAATCGAACAATATCTAAATTTCGACCAATCAGAAGCCAGTATATGGCGGCTATTTTGTCAAATTAGAAAACGGATGTCATGGTTGAGTTCGCGGTACCATCATACACCTACATGCCAAATTTGGGATGCATTGGAAAATATCTATAAAACATGTAAAATAGGATAGGTTGGCTATATTAACCTTTAGAAATTTTAAGTTCCCAAAAATAACAAAACTTCATTGCGGCCATTTTGTTGACAATGTCAATTTTTTATTCGACTTTAGAGCACGTCCTATACCGATACTTTCCTCAAAATTTTATTTTGATGCGCCAAATATAACAAAAAATATGGCTCAAAATGTTTTAGCCAACAGAGGCTGTCGCGGCGGAAAGGGGAAGAAGAAAGTTGTGTCCGTAGTGCCATACTACACCTATATACGCAATGTCATCAGAATTGGACGATATCTAAATTTCGACCAATCAGAAGCCTGCATTTGGCCGCCATTTTGAAACATTTCAAAACTGAGGTTACGAAAGTGACCGTGATATACCTAAAAACAAAATTTCATGAAAATCAGACAATGTAAATTTGGAGCAATCAGAGGCCAGGAATGGCAGCCATTTTGTTTTTTTCACAAAATGAACACGGCAGTTGTGTTCGTAGTGCCATAATACACCTTCATACCAAATTTCATGAAAATTGGACGATATATATATTTCGACCAATCAGAGGCCAGGAAATGGCAGCCATTTTGTCGAAATGTGACCGGTGTCCCACGATCTACCTACATACCAAATTTCATGAACATCAAATTTTTGTTTGTTTGTTTATGTTTCACGGCCCATCGACGGCTGTGGTCATTTAGGGCCATGGTGATTTATTTATTTATCTTATTTTTTTAACAAACATGCGAGTAACGAAGATAAAATCAGATAAACTGGTTCATTTTAAAAGCATTCGCATTGTATGTGTAGATAATAAAAAATAAAAAGGGGGTTAAAATAATAAAAGAGATAACGAATAGATGATATGGAAAAAGGGTAAGATGGGTTAAAAGACATCAGAGTCTATAAAATAGACCGATGTCTTTCAAATAGTTAAATAATGCCTTCGAGTCCACGGAACTGAAAAGAGTTTTCATATCCGGGACTCGAAAGTAGTTATCACAAATGTGTTTAAAATCGGAACATTCTATTAAAAAATGTCCACTGTAAATGGAGTGTCACATGCGTGGCATGAAGGTAGATCTTCTCGTTTTAAAAGGTACGAAAGAGTAGGATATGTGTGCCCAGTGCGGAGCCGAGCGAGGACAACTTCTTCTCTACGATTTTTCCGACTGGGAATAGATGTTTTAAGTTTCGGTTGTATCTTAAAAAAGTTTGTTGGTGGTCTCGAGAGAATGGCTGTACGAATAGTAGGTTTAAAATCTGTGTATGGTAGTTTGATATTTGTATGTTCGAGATTCAAAGCTTTTTTTGCTTCCCTGTCAGCAAATTCGTTGCCTTTAATTCCGACATGGCTCGGAATCCATAGTGAAGTTATTTTAGATTTTTTTAAGAAACGAGATATTCGAAGAGCAAGGTTTTGTACGAGTTAGTTTTTAGGACCTCGTAACTGTAAACTCTGTAGGACAGATAGAGAGTCTGAACAAATAATTGCCTTTTTAATGCGGTGTTCATCGATATGGTCGAGGGCCAAACCAATGGCGCATGCTTCAGCAGAAAAGATGGAGGCGCCGTCTGGTAGTCGGNCGGGCATAACACTCGATTTCCCTCGCTCATGTAATGTAAAGTTAAAATCAGGAGTTTGAATTGTCCACGTAGGAACATCAGATATGTTAAATTCAGCTATGTCCGTCAACTTTATGTTGAGTTTTTGCAGACAATTTGAAATTCGGATACCAAATGTTGGCAGAAGTTTTTGGTTTTGCGTAAATATGTTCTGGTATTTTGGGTTGAATACTTGGTCGAAAGCAGGATTTTTAGGGTTTGATTTTAATTGAGCTGCAAATTGTAATGAAAGTTTTTTTCTTCTGTCATAAAGGGATGGCTCATTTGCTTCCACGTACAGACATTTTACAGGTGTTGTTCGAAAAGCTCCAAGGGCTAGACGTAGGATAAGGATCCCATAAGAAGTTTCTGAGATTAAGCCCTGAAACGAACGGCAGAGGAATAATAATAATAATAATAATAATAATAATAATAATAATAATAATTAAGAAACGGAACAATAACAACAAGTCGCCCGACTTCGTTCGGAGTGACTTAATAAGTAAGAAACGGAACAATAGCAACAAGTCACCCGACTTCGTTCGGAGTGACTTAATAAGTAATAAACGGAACAATAACAATAAGTCTCCCGACTTCGTTCGGAGTGACTTAATGAGTAAGAAACGGAACAATAGCAACAAGTCTCCCGACTTCGTTCGGAGTGACCTAATAAGAATAAGTAAGAAACGGAGCAATAACAACAAGTCACCCGACTTCGTTGCTATTGTTCCGTTTCTTACCTATTAAGTCACTCCGAACGAAGTCGAGAGACTTGTTGCTATTGTTCCGTTTCTTACCTATTAAGTCACTCCGAACGAAGTCCGGTGACTTGTTGTTATTGTTCCGTTTCTTACTAGTAAGAAACGGAACAATAACAACAAGTCACCCGACTTCGTTCGGGGTGACTTAATAATAATCGGAGTAAAAACAATAAGTCCCCACACGAAGTTAACGGACTTAATAATAATTACATACGACTTTGAAGTGAATCATGGTGATTCCTTTTGCTTGCTCTTGATTTTTTTCTAGTCACGTTTCCCTCATCCTGTGTAGAACAAGGAGCCAAATGGTCTTGACAAGTATTTTCAATGTATATAATAATGCTTTAATAAAGTTTTCCCCAATTTTGTGGCATCAAGAGGCCAGTAACTTTCACAAGTATGACAATAACTTTGGTACCAAGGATACCAAATAGTCAGTTTGGTTGAATTTTGTATGCACTTTTCAAGAAAATAGGTTTTAAAATGCTAAATAAAACACTCAAATTACCAAGCGCTGTGCCCATCCTCCATAATACCTACATTTTTGCATTTACACAATAAAGTTCAGGCCAAAGTGTTTCTATAACATGACACAGGGACTAGTTATCCAGGTCGGAGCCAGACCCCTGTGCTTATCCTGGTTGCATGATTACATCCGAATTTTCATGCCCAACAAGCACATATTTGGTTATAGGGTGGGTATCTCAACCGGTGCCGTATTATGACCCCGGGGCTAAGTCCTCAGAGTTGATGCTTGTGGCATCAGGGTATTCATTTGTTCATGTAAGCAATTGTGAATCTGATTATACGGCAAAGAAACCAAAACCTCTTGGATTTGGATGGGCCACTCAAAGGGTAAATGCAGGTAGTATTGATGTGTGTTTTTTCTCTCAATTTAAAACATGTGAATACATTATGAGACTAAAGACCTCAAATGTTTTATGAAGATTTTAGGGAACTTGGGAATCCTTGTAGCAACTGTGTATCATCTTTTCATGGATACCAAGCGATTCGATAACATGCATTGCAATAGGATGAAGATCTCGATCTTTTTGTATGATATGTCCTAATCTCCATACTTGACGACACCCCTGGGACAGAAACGGACTAAGCATAAATGTATTTGTTTAATGATGTTGAGCACTTGTATGTATGGCTATAGTGTGGTGGTCTCAACGGCTTCAAAGTAATGACCAATTCCTCCCATTTGGCTCTGCTCTTCTATCCCAAGCGGACCATTTATGTACTGTCCGGCCACTCTGATTAGCACACCCACACCCTCCGTTTATAAACCATTGAACCCTATCTACCTAACGATGCTTCAAAGCAAATGTGTTCAAAAGCCGCACAGTTGTTCTAGATTAGTACCGTTTAATGGTTTTATCATAAGCTCTTCGAACCTTGTAAGATGATTCCTTGTAAACGTGGGCCTACCCTTATTTTTTTAGAAAAGCTGGACGATTTGCATTACTATTGGTGATTTCTGCATAATACGATATGTTTTGGGCCATTCATTGTTACAATTACCAATACAATAGACTTGACTTACTAAAGTCCAGATTAAAAGAAAAATAACTTATAAACAATCAATTTGCGTACACTCAAACATGTACTTTGATATAAATTACGTTGCCACAATAACATACAAAATAATCTTGCTTTTAACATATATGAATTATAATTTTCCAATATAACACTACCATTTATTTTTCGGTCTCACTCATTTTATCATTCTTTTATAGGAATAAATAATTTCCATATTTTTATCAGTTTTAAACATTATTTAGAGGGATTTACTCCATCTTTCCAAAATAAATTATGATTTACGAGAGCAAGTCTCAGAATGCTGTGAAATATACCTATTCAATGAAAATTTGCTAAATTTGAACAATGTTATAGCTATAGCATATCTTACATGTTGTGTAGTGTAGATAGACATCACTCCCTCCGCAAATCTCACTGGGGTTACCAGGACATCTAACGTTACAGTATGAACGTGGTTTTCGAGCATCGATGTCCGGAGCTGTATTCACACATAGGCACTTGTGTATCTGTAACAAATAGGATACTCTTTCATTGTGTGTGCGGAGTGCAGGTGAGCGGTTCGCATGATGCCTGGAGCGGGTATAGGGGTGCAGTTATAGGAGTGTTGGGTGCAGGTTTGGTTGGGTTTAGTATTATTAAACGTCCTATCAACAGCTATGGTCATCTAAGGACAGCCTTCCCTGTGCGCAAGATGTATGCAAGAAGTATATGCGTGTGTGTTGTGGGAAGCTACGATATGTTCGTGTTTCCTCCTTGTGATAGCGCGGAACTGATGCCGACTTTATAGCGCTACCTCACTGAAACATACTGCCGAAGACACCCAGCAGGACACCTCCCGCCCGGTCACATTATACTGACAACGGGCGAACTAGTCGCCCCACTCCTAAATTGCTGAGCGTTAAGCAGGAGTAGAAACTACCATTTTTACAGACTCTGGTATGTCTCGGCCAGGGGACAGAACCCTCAGCCTTCCTCACAGGGGCGAACATTCAACTAAAGGCCAAAGTGAGGCATTGTCAAGGAAGACATTAGGATAAAGAAAGTTGTTTAGAAAGAGAAAAGATAATATCTGAAATTTAGTCGCAAATTCTGCAGGGTTTTACGCATGAGTCGCCTCTTACGATACATGTCGTGGATAACAGCAAATGTCGCAGAGTACAGGGTGCGGTGATGTAAATACCAGGAGATGGAGGAAATAAACTAGGAATTGGCTTTCATTTTTTTTTTACTTCTAAAAGACAGTATAATTTTCGGTACCTTCAGCAGACTGATGTGATATATATGTCCCCTGTCTCAATGAGGCATATTCAGACAATTTAATCATGTCTTTTACGGAAATACTGTATGGTATCTGAAATCTTATAGAAAATCAGCCTGGCTGATTATGGCATGCCTCTTTCCTTGTGATATCACAATAAGCACCCTATAAGGAGGGTCAGAGTCAAACAATGATACCTCAATAATATGTACTTACCTGCAGCATAATGTCGGAATGCCCACACCTCTGCTTACATGAGACAATATCATTGTTTTCAATCCTCGTGAAATTTTCATTATCAACGCTGAAGCACCCTGAATAAATAAATACAACAAACTAGTAATTAACTTTTCCATATTTAATAATTAAATTCAGGGGCGGGTTTTCATTGATTTGTGTTGTGTTTCTATTGACTTTGAGCCCTTTTTACGTTTACATTGGTTGTTTGGTATATATTTAATTTAACGTTGTTACCTGACTTGACGTTTATGCATCTCATCTTAAGACGTCTTCGCATCAAATAAGCTTTTGTAATAAAGTAAGGCAAGTTAATTTTTAGCACGGAAAAAGAAACAATGTATAACATACTTCAAATTGGGAATTTTCGAGGTTTTCGTAGAAATTGTATTGGCAGATTATAACTTTATTAAACGAGTTTTGAAATCACACGACTTAAAGTGTAATATTTTAGAAGCACCAAAGCCGCAAACAGAAATGTTAATATCGCACAAATATCTTACGATGCGGTTACATGTTAATATTGTTCATTTCAGTTTATTGATTTACACGATGTATTTACTTATTTATCCACAACTGCTTATTCTAGTCATTATTTTCTGATTGTTAAAAAAAACGGAAGAAAAAAAACCCGGCAGCCATCTTGTTCAATGACTAGCAGAAATGTACAATTAGAAACAGAAATACGATCTGCTCATACTTATGCGAGGTTTTAAAGTGTATCATGAACGAAAATGGAAATGAATGTATCATAATTATATATGATCCAAGCACAAAAATGTCGAAAACAGCATAAAAATCAGTCATCACAATATCGAGATATTGATAAGATTTTTTTCGAATGAACGAGTTTGAGGGAAAATTAAACAGAAATAGTCTCAATGTTGTCGATCAAAGATATTTCTTAATTATAGCTGGAAAGTCAGTTTGCAATCAGTTTCTTAACTCTACACAGAGACATATATACTTTATATGTATCTGCTCTACATTGAGAACTTTTCCAATCATTTCGTCATTGAACAGCACTATCTCGTGACCACTTTCTGTGCCGGAATATTTATATTGCCAAGTTATATACTGTGGTACCTTAACGGTCCAAAAATACGGAAATATATCGGTGAAAAATGTTTACAAAATAACTTCAACGTTGGTGTCTGCTTTTTTGATTGTCAATATTTTTAGTAATGACAAGTCGACGACATTGTGTCTTCCTTACAGCAAAATACCGACAGTTCCACATTTAATTGTATACCATACAGTACCTATGTATGTGGTGCTAAATTAGATCACGGACTTTCATAATCTACTTCCGTGATTACATTTATCTCGAAAATATAATTGAATTATGAGATTCAAACATTTTTGTTTCTCCCTATACATGTAGCATACACAAAGTGAAGTTATAATTTAACATCTTGGTTAAATAATGCAAATCATCTCAATCCACTCTCTTGGCATACTTAGGTGTGAAATGTGTACAGGTAAATAACACTAAACACCTGTGTCCAGTGCTGACAGCAGGAGGCCCAAGACATACATATATACCTGTGTACAGGTATGACATCAAAAGGGTGTCAGCAGGTGGGCAAGGGGTACCTGAAGATAGTATGTAGATTGCAATTGATGTAGAAACAGCAGAGACGTATATATTACGTCTCTGGTTTAAGGATCAATTTCAATAAAAATATAAATAAATGAATTGCGTAAGTACTGTCACAGAGTCACATTATATGGAAACCACAATCAGTACAACTGCATCACTCGACAGATGAAAGTCAGAAACGAAGCAAATAATGCTGGACCATGCTATGCACATTATATATCTGATCAGGTGGTTCATTGACAAATTAATAATCTTTGTGAGTCTTGAACAGACAGGTTTTCCCTCTGCAATATTCTTAGAAGTGGCGTGTATATTTATCATGTGCTAAATTTCTTGGATTGCATAAAGAATAAAAACATTTCAAGTTTTATGACTGGGAGTGAAAAAACACGGGATGCTCATTTTGACTATACATTATTGTACCGAATCATTTTTGTCAATTCCAATCGTATATCTACATATTGTAAAGAAAGGCATGCGCACCGCACCGCCTACGTTAAGTTGACTCCATTTTTAATCAATTGTTTTGTGTTGTAAAGGTGTTCCTCAAATTTTCTAAAGATCAAAAGGTAATAAAAAAAGGTATATCATTTACAGTTACTAGTTTAACCAATGATGTAAAAAAAAAAACATATTCATTTAGATAGCATCCAACACACCTCCTCAGGAGGAACTCATTTCATCACTAAAATTGTAAAAACAAATCATTTATATGTATTAAGTCTTTAAATATTATCTACACAAGTAAGTGGCGACGGAATATATCATATACGTAGCTAAAAAGCTCACATATAGAACGCACGATCGAAGCTTCCCGATATATTTCCATAGGGCTGTTTTGACAGCGTTGAACTTGTGACGACACAGATGTGGGCTACCCATATCGAGGCGTTCGCCGCTGAGCCAAATGTGTGCTTTTCAGATAAATCACAATATCTCGGAAACTGAGTCACCTACCTAATATGAAGTACTTTCATAGCTTGATATAGCAAAACCTTCAGGGTACACTTTAACTAGGATCCGGTTAGTATTGTCTACGGACATTTCTTGAAATAATCTGGCGGAAAAAGTACAATAAACATGTTCTTATTGTAAAGGGGACGATTACAAGATTCCCTAAACTGCATCCATAGTTGTATAACATGCTTTGGAATGAGCTTGCAATGCCAAAACACACCAACGTACCACAGTAACACATGAAACCAGACATTGATTTTTAAATTTCGATCTATGAGAACCAAGTCCGTCATGGCGATCATCTTGTTTATAGTCAAAACAGATGTCGCGTTAAAGTTTGCACAACCATACCAAAGTGTGTCTAAATCAAACTATACCTTTATTTTGACCAATCAAAAACAAGTTGATGTTACAATTTTATTTGGCATTCAAATGGAAGTTTCCGAAACGTTCGTCATGCCAAGATACATCTGCGAAACAAACTTGTCTGACAAAATCAATATTTCGACTAATAAGCCAGGCTAATAACAAGTACTTACTACTCTGTGACCATAACACAGACTAACAAACCAGCCCGTCTGTCGTAACCGATGAAATCGGAATCACAGCAGAGACCACATGTCTATGACATACCTACTCATCAAACTTGATAAAAATCGAACATAATTGCAAATAAGAGTTATGGTCTTGGCGGCTTTCTTTTTTTTAATTTTGAGCCAGATATCAACAGGAAAGGTAAGAATCTTCTCCTTCATCGATAACACCCACTGTATATGCAAATATAGATCGGAGTTATGCGATGTCCTCACATCGAAAAATCAGGTATTATACAACACACACAAGGCACTATATGGGCATAACCAAACACATCGACCGCCATGTCACAGAATAAGCTTATTTCTCTTTGATATCCGGATGGCGACCAGAAAACTAGTCCATAGCCTTCATCAACCTGTATCTTTTGAAATTATGTTTTTGTTAGTTTGTCCTACAGCAGATCGTTGTGTGTAGTTCGTAGTTCGGACATTGGAGTCTAGGAATATTCTTCGTGGTGTTGTAATACACCTGTATGCACCAAATATGCAAAAATAAAAAATTTGTATCTTAGATCAATTAGTAGCACGTCTAAAGGGACCAGACAAACCTCTTATTATTAGTATTACAACAATTACGAAACAATCTTTGTCAACATATGCAAGTCACTCTCGTTGGCCAGAACAATAGCCTGATGTCGTTGAATCCCTGAGATAATCCACATGGGCAGGGACAAAAACATTTGTACCTTCGAAAATCGGAACCCGGTCGTCAAAGTGTAATTCAGTGCGCTAACTGACCACAACTTCTTGACAATAGAGTTTCAGTTTTTACGTAGATGAACTTACCAGTGGGATACATCCATGGAGTGGTATACTGGTATTGACCTACCCAGACCCTGCCCCTCCGAAGAGCGAAGTTTTCGCCAATTGTAACTGGTTCGGCAAGAGAAGCTGCCATATTCTGACAAGACACAAATGCTTCCTTCCAAGTGACTTTTTTGTAGTACAGCCAAAGTGAATCTGTGGTAACAGGTTAAATGGAATTAGCATGTGTGTGTGAAATTATTTGCAAAACTGCCCAGGGTCAATTATGATATTATGAATGCATTCGTATGTTTATGCCAACAATTGTATATATAATTTTGGTGTCGGGATCTCAACCGTTTCAAATTATGACTCTGGGGTTATGACTCTGCAAGGGTGGGGCAGACCGCGGGGTTAATTATAATATCATGACTGTTTTTGTCTTTTTATGCCCAGTCCCTGCAGGTGGGGCGTACAATTGTACCTGCTGTCCCCATTGCATGATCGTAAGAGGCGACTCAATTTGGGATCTTATCTTTTCTCTTTTTTCTAAACAAATTTCTTCTTCCTAATGTCTTCCTTGACAACGCCTCACTTTTAGCTTTTAGTTTAGCGTTCGCCCCTGTGAGAAAGGCTTTAGTTCTGTCCCCTTGCCAAGACATAACAGAGTCTGTAAAAATGGTAGTTTCTACTCCTGCTTAACACTCAGCAAGTTAGGAGTGGGACGACTGGTTCGCCCATTGTCACTATAATGTGACCGGGCGGGAGGTGTCCTGCTGGGTGTCTTCGGCAGTATGTTTTAGTGAGGTAGCACTATCAAGTCGGCATCAGTTCCGCGCTATCACAAGGAGACAAACACGAACATATCGCAGCCTCCCAAAACAAACACGCATACACTACACGCATGCATCTTGCACACAGGGTAGGCCGTCCCTAAATGACCATAGCTGTTGATAGGACGTTTAATAATACTAAACCAAACCAAACAAAACCTCTTTATGCCCAGCAACTGTATATATAGTTTTGGGTGGCGATTTCAATCGTTTTAAAGTTATTACACAGAGGTTAAGTGTCCAAGGGTGGGGCAGACCCCGGGCCATCCTGGAAGCATATGTGCATTCGTCTCATTATGCTCAGCAATTGTATATATGATTATAGGGCAGGGATCTCAACTGACTCAGAAACTAGGTCCCTAGGGGTGTGACCAGACCCACGGGTCAATGTTAAAATCATGATGGTGTTATTATTATTATTATTATTATTATTATTATATTCTTAACGGCCCATCAACACATAAGAGGTTATGATGGTGTTTGTTTTTTATGTTCAGCAATTGTATATTTTGTTTTGGGGTGAGGTTCTCGACCGTTTCAGGGGACTAAGTCTCCAAAGTTGGGAAAAGACCCCAGTGCAATCCTGGAAGCACTATATATATATATGATTCTAGGGTCGGGATCTCAATTTTTTTCCAAGTTATAACTTTGTTTGGCCCCGCCTTTAGCCCGGGGAGTAAGCCTGTCTATTTGTCCTTCACCTAGGTATGCTTCCAACAAAATATAGTTGATATTTATCAATGTTAATCCAGAAAAGTAACTTAAAGCAAAATAGCCGAATAATAATGTTTGGCCCCGTCCCTCAGCCCCACTCATTTGTACAATTTTGAATCCCCGCCACCTAGGGATGCTACCAGTCAAATATGAATTGATATCCATCGTTTATTTTAGATAAAAAGTTGCTTAAAGCAATACAGCCAAATAACCCTTGTTGGTGCCGCCCCTCCATTTGTACATTTTATTCCCAACCTCCCATGAATGCTTCCAACCAAATATTGTTAATATTTATCTCACATCTACAGAAGAAGTCGCTTAAAGCAATATATAGCAAAATTAAACCCGCCCTCAGCCCCCTGGGGAGTCATTCCCACCATTTGTACTGGTTTAAATCGCCACCACCTAGGGATCCTGTCAAATATTTGGCCCCGCCCCTCAGCCTGCTAGGGGTCAACTCCACCATTTGAACAATTTTGAATCCCCACCACTTAGGGATGATTTCAACCAAATATTGTTGATTCCGTCACTTAGTTCAAGAGAAGAAGTCGCTTAAACCGATATAAAGCCAAATTACACTTTTTGGCCCCGCCCTCAGCCCCTGGGGGTGTTCCCACCATTTGTACAATTTGGAATCCCCACCACGCAAGGATGCTTTCAACTAAATTTGGTTGGTTCCATCACTTAGTTCAAGAGAGAAGTAGCTTAAAGCAATATAGCCAAATTAGCTTTTTTGGCCCCGCCCCTGAGCCCCCTGTGGTAAGCCCCATCATTTGTACAATTGTGTACCCATGCCACTTAAGGATGCTTCCAACCAAATATTGCTGATATCTATCTCATCTATCTACACAGAATATTCTCATTTTCAAACCCATGCGTATATATGTAAGAATAATTTACCGGATATTTGCTCTCCATTCGGCTTTTGAGCGGCACATCGATGAACAATACATGTAAGACATGTAAGAAGGATAAGTAAAACAGCTATAAGTAGGATCTTGTGACGGCCCATGTTTTCCAATCCTTCTCTAGCACGCATATAAGGCACAAGTGTACAACTACGCGCGCCGATGTAAGTATATACATCATTTGATGTCGTCTTCCTTTACTTGACCCAATTAATGATCGGTATCCTGTTTGATTTGAAAAAGGATGGCAGTGCCTTATACCAGGAGATGGCCCACTTCAACCAACGGACATGCCGATAGAAGTTACACGTATGATAGAGTAATAAGTGAACACGGTGATTAATCTCCTAGCCTTATTTCATTTCAACAAAATTATTGACAAAGCTGTTGCAAGTCAATAGGATGGAATAACAGGCAAAGCCTATATAAATTCTCTCCGACGGTGGCTAAAGTAATGGATTCTGTAATTTTGGATTCTTATTTAATTGATACGTCAATTTTGAAATGAAAAATTATAAACACAAAAGTTAAAGGGATGTAACTCCTTCTCAATTAACATAACTGAAATAGAAATACATTCACACTTCTCACTTTATAACATTTTATATAAGTTATATAGCTATCAAATCACACAGTTATTGGCAGACATTGACCAAAAGTGCATGTGCTAATATATGCACAGGTCACAGTTGCCAAAACTGTTAAGTTATTGTAATTTTAAATGCAAACAGATAGCTAGTCTATATGCAATTCATAGTTTGGGATAGAAACTGTAAAACAAGACAGATTTAACAAATCTTACAACAAACAAATATGCTCAACTGAAAACCTATGTCCGTAGATGAATACCGTTTATAGAAATGTAGGTAAAGTAGAAAAAGGATATTTTCCAGAAATTTTACTTATTTGTGGAGTATAATTGAAATAGGAATATAAAAGTATAAAGTCATGACTGGTTTGATCATATAGAGGTTAAAACGCCTGGATTTACTAATAAATAACTGTACATCATTAAGTAACTCTCTGTTTCTTAGTCCATCACAATCAGGACACCCTTGAAGAAAAATGAAATGTGTGTAAGGGGGGGGGGATGAAAGAGCCTTGGTCTGTTTGAAAATAAGAGTGTCGTTACATCGCATAAAGGTGGTAGAATGTATAATAAATTGATCTGTGCAAATTCATGTGTATACATAAAACAGATTAACAAACAAACACATAAAATGGCAAATAACAACAAACAGTCATATACAACATAGATACGCCGTATCCTCTTTAAGTGAATATCAGAGCCTTATAATCACGATATACCGCCGCAAATCTCAAACTACAGTAGGCTTATCCTCATTCTAATTCAAATAAGCCACAAAACTAAAAGAAACGACGATTTTAAAATATGTTCAAGTGTTTTCTTCGAATCAAATTCTGGTCGCTCTGCCGTGGATTGGTGACGTCAGATAAGAAAATAAGAAATTCGTGAACGGTAAATCGTGGTTATACTGTCGAAAATTATTTTGATTGACCAATCAAATGTGTTACATCTCAAATGAATTGGAATTATATTTAACGATCTACTTTCAACACATTTTCATATTCTTACTATTATATTTTTGACATTTTGAAACCCCAAATACGGCTTACTCAGTGGAAGTGCATTCTACTGGTTTTAAAGATGATAAAGAAATTAAGTCATCGGATTCAAATTATGTTCATTTGATGCTTTGGTTTTCAGAAAGGTGCTAAGGAAAAAATCAATCTGCATCAAGATACAATGACAACAGTTATTATATACGAGATGTAGCAGCTAGAAATTGGCTGGAGTCATGCTACTAAGTTTTTGATTCTCGTGTTAAAAGAAATGTCTTATTACAGTTTTTGGAATATACAACGTTACACGATGTTTGCACGGTGTTTTCACGGTGTGCGGTCGGTGAAATACTGTGCGATAGTAGCGTGCGCAGCTATCGCACAGTTGTTAGATAGATATCGTGGATGATATATATATATATAGAATGGCCTTTGAATAAATACGATTTCGTATTTAATCTTGTATCTTTGCTGATTTAATTATGCTGCCATTTTGCAGCCATAATGAAATGGTTATCCATTTATCTTACAGCATCATATACCAAAATCGTTTTGAAGCGACCTTGTCACCTGTGTAGATGAATGGTCATATACATGTACGTACTGTACACGCAGATACAATGTAAGCAAAGCAGACTTGCCTGTTACCAAAACGTTTGCTTTTCTTATACTTTTTCCTCAGAAATACCAATTTAGGTTAACCCTACCCCTTACTTTTAAATGCAAAAAATACCCGTTGTTTTTACCATTACTTTGCAGATTTGAGGTTGGTGATACAAAATTTGCAATATTTTTTTAAATAATATATTGATCAAAAGAAAATGTGTTTTTCTTCCTATTACAGCCGAAAAATAAGGGTTAGTGTGCGATTAAAATTCAAAAGTGTTTTAGGTTTACTAAATAGATAATGAAATACCAATATTATATATTTTTCTTTGTTGCAAATAATTTTTACAATATTGAACATTTGTTACATGTACAGCAAAAAATCAGCTCCCTACAGTTTAACATTGCAAAAAGGTACTTAGAAGGATGGATCTAATGTAAAACAAAGGGAGCTTCGAACATTGCTTAGAAATTTACATTTCTTGGTACATTCACAATGGCTGCCGAAATGGACATATTTTAAGAAAAGAACAAAAAATAGTAGGCAACTCGATTTTTACACATTTTTCAGATGCAGGTTTCCTTTAAAAGTTGATCATATTTTGTATTTTGTTTGTTTGTTTGTAACAGTAGATCAACACGATATTTGAAACATCAGGATGCATCCTTAAAACGTTGTGCCTTAGGGTTTGATATTTCATACAAAATAGAAACATCAAAAGCGATGGCAGACTACTGATGGATTGTGCCCCTTTTCGGGACTAGGGATCAAAATCTGTACAGTATACCTCCGCGAACTCTATAAAAACAGTTTGATAGTTCAATGGACAACAGCTTGGTACTCTGAACATGACAATAGTGACAAAACGTCTGTTGATGATATGAGAAGCTGGATAGGAAAATATGTCGAGCTGCTGAAAGATTGATCAAGGAGTCATTGATGCCACATGAATTAAAACACATATCAGGCATGTATTTTGTATTTATGCATTTTTTTTACAGATTTTCCGTGATCTGGTTATTCCTACAAGTCAAGTCAGATGTCATCGACGCACGAGAGAACACATCCGTAATATTGGGTGATTGGTTAGGATGATATACCGATCTCTATCCGATGTAGTCAGGATAAACGTTTTTCTGTAACTGTGACGAACTCTGTAATCGATATTTCGATTGTTGTTCCGACGCATAAAATGCAGAAAAGCCGATGGAGGATTTTTAATATGATTTATTTATTTATTTATCATCTTGCAATCCAATAGAATCCCCTTCGTTTTATACTAAAGCTGTGTTTATGGTTTCGAAGTTTACAACAATTTGGGCGAAAGAAAAGTATGAAAAAGAAATACACGCAACGTTACTAGAAATGCTCCCTATGTTGTACAGAAAAACGTTCTTCACATTCCGATATCAATATTGTGCCTTAATCAACGGATTATCCGACTGGATTAGATGGGATTTGTACTTTAAATATTTAACATTCTAGTTGAACGCCGGAAGAGAAAAACATTTGTGCAACAGCAGTCCTCGAACCAATGGTTGTTAAATGTAAATGAGACCAATACCAATAGAATAACGTGCCTGAAATCTACTACTCGACAAACTCTATTTTTCACTCTTAATGCTATCCTTAATTACTCATCCATGGTCACAGACATAGAAGTGTCCGGAAATATGCAGTGAGAAGAAATGAACATTTTCATGTCAGACGAGGTACATTGTAAATTTATTATATGCGATCCACTACTACAACAGGTAAACTTTCTTTTTTTGCATAATTAGGGATCAAGTCATTCATTTTTGTAAAAAATAAATGAATGAATCAATTATAAATGATTAAATACATAAACACCAGCGTTACAGCAGCACAGAGCCTGACCAAATTTTGTACTTAAGACTTCTTATCATTAAACTATCGATCTAGCCGTCTAAGCTACCTGGTGATGGTAATACTCTGGCCGTGTCGTGATTCATTGACTTAAAGGGGAGTTCTTTAGTGTCGTACCTACATAAGGACATATCGTTATGCCCCTGCACTCATAACAAGCAAAACTTTGGACAAAATTATGAATGAAAATGGCCATCAGATTGGTGACATTGAATTTATTATCAATAGAGCCACGGGTCAGACAACCAAAAAAATCACCCCGAGGGTTCGAGATTTCTCTGTTACACCCTTAACGTAGGGGATGATTATGTTTCTCCCATCCCATTACTTTAGTCACAACTCCACCGACAGTAGTGTAAACAAAAACACATGTGGCGTATGAATATCGTCATTCACTTTTGATGACGTCACAATTACCGGTGACGCGTTTTAATGACTTCACAGTTGAACACGTGCTAATCAGCACGATGCTGTCTCCCTCTAGGGGATCTTTCCCGGCCGAAACGGCGGACACCTGTGAAGGGTAGGAGAAATCCATCTTTTAGTTCCAGAGAAGAAGACGCTTAAAGCAATATAGCCGATTTGCCCCCTTTTGGCCCCGCCCCTCAGCCCCCTGGGGGGTCAACCCAATCATTTGTACAATTTTGAATCTATTCTACCTAGGGGTGCTTCCAGTTAAATATGGTTGATATCTTTATCTTAGTTGCAGAGAAGAAGTCGCTTAAAGCAAAATAGCCAAATTGCCTTCTTTTGGCACCGCCCCTCACCATTTGTACAATTTGGAATCCCCACCATCCAGGGATTCTTCCAGTCAAATTTAGTTAAATTCCAATCAGTGGTTAAGAAGAAGTCGTTTAAAGAAATTGTTGACGTACGGACGACAGACGACGGACGGACGACGGACGACACGGTATGGCATAAGTTCACCTTGGTGCTTCGGACCCGGTGAGCTAACAATAGGCCTATCATCAGATTCCAAATAAGTGACCATAACTAACTCATGATCGCTGCACAATATGACAACGAAAACACGACAAACTCATACATATAAAATGATATTGAATTTGCAAAACCTAGTGAACAATGATTAAGTAATAGGTTACATAATAAGAATTCACAATGAAAACTACGCAAACTATAACGATTAATAACAAAATTCAAAAGTGACAAATTCCGGGATGGCGGTCACCCTTTTCCCCTGAGCTTAAAATTGCCGCTTCGGAAATCTAACAACAACGAACACTACCAACGCGAAACATCACCAGCTATTGGACGTTTCATCAATTGAAATATTGAAGTTCCGTAAAGTATAAACATATTTCAAAAATAAAAATAAATTAAGATACAAAAAAATATTGTTTAAATTTATTTTGACAAAACATCATTGTTCTTACCATAAATTCTGAGAAACAAAGAGAATATTATATGGGAGATAACTCTGACAGTCATATGTTCAGCTAGGCTGAGGAACTAACCCACCAATAATATAATATAATATTAGCGTTTGTGCTTAGATAAATCAATTAAATTTTTAGCATTAAATTTTAATATAAAACGTTGTTGAGGGGGAATGAAGTTTTTGGAGAGAGATAAAAAGTTTGTCGAGAGATTAGGAGTTATGTTGAGAACAGACAGGTAGAGGAGATTAGGAGTTGTGTTGCGAACAGATAGTTAGAGGAGATTAGGAGATTTTAGGAGATTGAAAAGAGAACGGAGAGTCTTGAGAGAATTCTATGGAGTGATTTTGTAGTGTATAGAGTATTAGTTTGTTGAATTAATCTAATTGGTGTAAAATTCAGATGTTTTCAGTTAAATTACTTTTGAGTGACATTTCCGGACTTATAGTAAGTTTGTCTTAACTAAGTGTATTAAAAGGAATATCGGTCTTCTTCATTTGATCTTAAATTGGATTATATAAAAGTGCTTTGCTTCGGTTATAATTTTCCCTCCTGGAGACAATTGAATGTAGCTGTATTCACTTGAACTTTTGGCAAGTACATTGATTAAGTTCCTGTTAATAAAACTTAAGTTAACCTTATGAAATCTTGAATGTTGAGTTTTTATCTCTCGCATTTGTCAGACCGACTGAACGACTTGACCTATTAATAACAAATTGGTGTCAGAAGTGGGATGCCTAAAAACGTAACAATTTTCTTAAAAAGACTTTCAAATAAGTTCTTCTGTTATCGAAAAGGTTGATGATATTTTGCCAGTATTCAGGATCACAGGGGTTAAATGAAAAACTGTTCGGCTTGTTCTAATTAATGACCTGAACTCATTTTCAAGGTTTTAAAATGCTTCCTCTGCAAAAGCCATAAAGTATTGGGCGGTGCTATTTTGCCAGTAGCATGCTTCAGATAAAGAGCTATCAATTTGTTATTGTTTGAATGACATTGACATTTATTCAAATAACGTTTGGTTAAATGTGTATAAATCTTTAAATGACCTAATCGAAATAAACAGAAGGTCTAGGGTGGTGAACTTTGTCAGGTTGCATGCTGAGATGAAAGGCTATAAAGTTTGTTCAACGTATTGACCTTGTTCAACTTTCAAAGTCACAGGGGTCAAATTTGTTTAAATCCTTAACATGTTCTTTCGTTACAGTTGACAAGGTTATAGATCCAACAGATAGGAGAAAAGAAGAGAAATGATGAGAAAATATCAAACGTTCAAAGAACTAAGGATATTTTGCCATGACGAGCGTTATGGTCCCTCTGGAATCTCGTCTTCTTCTTGTGGTCCGAAAGCCGCATGGATATTTTCTAAGGACAATAAAATTGGCAAGTTTACAGCAATATATTGTCGGCGTTATATACATTATATACATTATATATTATATATACATTATATATTTATATTTCCTGAAATTTAAACGGGAGTCTCGATTGCAAAATGCTCGCGAGGTCAAATGTTGGACCAGCGATCGAACACTATTATTGCTATTAGAACGTCTTGGATTAGTATTTCGCTTAAATCTCTAAACTGACTCACAGTTATGTACTCGGAACTAGTTAACAAATCATTTAAGATCTGGTTCAGAGTAAATTGTGAGGCAATCTCAATCACACACATTTATGTGTTCACTCTTATGTGATAATGGAAACAATCACTTGATTATTCCTTCAGCAGTCACCTACCCAGTCATCTATTTGTTTTGTTTTTGTATTGTTTAACGGCCCATCGACTATGTAAGTCATTTAGGGCAAACAATACTTTAAAACGAGACATTCACGAAAATAAACACATCAAACCAATAGCTTAAAATATGCTAAGTGTTTAAAAAAAGTACATCAATATCGAACAAATTGGCTGCACCATATAACATCTTTTATTGTAAAGATCAATAGAGTGTAGATAGTTATATATTAATTGCACAGAAACTGTATCGAATAATTTTTTCATAGACGGTACATCATAAAATCTGTCATGTATTTGTTTGAAATCAGCGCATTCAATCATAAAGTGCCTGACAGTAAATTGTTGATCGCATACATGACAATAAGGCTGGTCTTCCTTGCGCAAAATGTAACCATGTGTGATGTATGACCTATGCGGAGTCGCGAGAAGACAATTTCCTCTCTGCAGTCTGCTCTACTTTTTGCACATAAACCCACATTAGGCTTAATTGCAAATAACTTGCTGTTTAATTCTTCAGATCATTCATTTTGCCGATTCGTTTTAATCAAATTTGTTATAGAAGGTTTAAATCAGAAAAGGGCAGTTTATTATCTTTTGGTTGTAGGTTATGGGCTGCTTTAGAAGCTTTATCTACATGTACCTTGTCATTTCCGTTTATACCGACATGACCACCTGTAAACGAGACAGATGGTCAGCAAGAATATTACTTTTGCCAGGGATGTGACGTGCTGAAAAAAGAATATTAAAACGCAAGGAAGTAATGACAAAACGACGTGTTAATGCCATAAGAGTGCTATCTTTGCTTGTTTGTTTGTTGATTATATCAACAACGGCCATGTTGTCACAGTACAACAATAGACATCTATTTCGCAGACAGGGGCCCCACATTTCAATTGCCAAGACAATTGCAAAGAACTCCTTAACTGTAATATGGTAGGAGGTAAAAGATGCTGGCCAGGTCCCAAACAACCATGAAGTGTTGAAAATAGCCCCAAAACCCCGATTGCTGGCATCAGTGAAGAACTGAAGCTGTGGTGTAGTTACCCAGCGATCATCAAGGAACATGGAAACCCCATTAAAGGAGTCTATGAAAACTTTCCAAGCAGCAATGTCAGCCCTAGCCTCCCGACTTAAACGTACATGGTGATGAGGTTTTTGAAGGCCACATGTCAAGTTGATCAAACGACGCAAAAAAGTTCGACCTGGAGAGATAACTTTACAGGCAAAATTTAACAAACCAATTAAAGACTGTAATTCCCGTAGCGTGACTTTCCTGCGCCGAGAAAACTGATCTAACAACTGCCGCATTTTGATGATTTTGTCCATAGGAAGTCTGGCCTCCATTTTAGAACTATCCAACTCTATGCCTAAAAAAGTTAACTGTGTGCAAGGGTTAACAGTTTTGCTTTGTTTTATAGGGATTTGGGTATGTTGACAAAAAGTTAAAAAGTTTGCCAAGTCTTCCATACATTTGGAACTACCAGGTGGGGCTACAAAAAGGAAATCATCCAAAATATGAACAACCCCCGCTACCTGATATTTTGTCTCCATGATCCAATGAATAGCAGAGCTAAATGCCTCAAACAGACGGCAAGAGATAGAGCATCCCATAGGTAAGACTTTATCAAAATAAAACTTGTCATCTATCTGGAAACCCAACAACTCATAGTCAGTAGGATGAATGGGAATAAGTCGAAAAGCTGACTCAATGTCAGTTTTGGCCATGAGTGAACCTCTCCCAAAATGTTTGACAAGGCGCACAGCATCATCAATTGTCTGATATGCCACAGTGGCATCTTCAGGGTTTATGCCATCATTGATAGATGTACCCTGAGGGTATGATAGATGATGAATGACACGAAACTCATTGAGTTCTTTCTTTGGTACAAGGCCCAACGGGGATACCTGAAGATTTGGAAAAGGAGGTGTCTGAAATGGACCTTGTATGCGACCTAAACTAATTTCTTTTTCAATTTTTTGTTTCAAAACCGAAACGTTATCCAGAGCAGATTTGAGATTTTTGGACGTTCGAAATCGCCTAGAACCATAATACTGCAAAGAAAAACCTTCAGTAAAACCCATCTTCAAAAATTGAAATTTATCCTGAGGGTAGCCCGCTAAATGTGTAAGAAACACTTGGACCTTAATAGGAGTAGGGAGTTTAGATTTTTTGAGGAGGTTTACGTTGTTGGCGTTGTGGATTAGTGGCTGAGAGTTGGCCATTGTTTCCACCGCCTGAGGGGTTATCCTGGGGAAGAGTGGAGGAGGATTGCAATTTGCATTGCCGAAAGGAATGCCCCCCTCCACAGTTGGAGCAGACATGTGGGAATTTGCAGCGTGGTCCCTTTCGACAAGATCCAGACTTGTTGAATGGCCAACAAACACCTTTTGGCCAACTTGTTGATTTGGAATGAAAGGGCTGCTGAAAGGGCTGTTGAAAAGAGTTTGGGCGGGAGGTACTTCTCAACCCAATTGCTGTAGCCTCCAAATAAAATTCGGAGTGAACATTTCCCCATGAAGTTTGAGGGAAAAGTTGATGCCACCGACGGAAGTTACAATCGTAATTCAAAGCCGCAGCAATTCCCGACCTTCTAGACAAAGTTTGTACAGTGTCAGCATATTTCATGAGAGCTGAAATAGCCTGGGGGTGGGATTGGACATAAATTGAAACGAATATATGAAAGGCTGATAGCCATTGTTCCACGGATTTAATCTGTGATGATTTTTGTTTGGGAACTAATGCTAATTCATTGTTGTGGAACTGAATTTTGAAGTGGTCCGAATCAGAAGATTTTTGGAGCAACAGGCCAAAATCAATGTACTCCCCAGCCAAAATTTTGGCTTTTAATTTAGTATCAATATGCATGTCCAGAGGTCGGGAAATGCTGTGGCAAGTCTCAAAACCATTCTCACCCGTAAAATTTGACAACACCTGTGATAATGGGTTATTAATGTTCATTGTTGGTGTTGTAGCAGGCATGGTCAGAGGATCCATAGAACGCAAAGGCAGGAAATGTCCACTTGTATGAGGGGGGATAATATCAGTTGCTGAATTAGCTGGTGACCCTGTCGCTGCTGCTGGTCCCGGTCGCTGAATGTCAAGGGACTGTATACCGAGTGATGAATTATGACCAAGTCCAGATGGTGCCCCTGTTGTAGTTGTAGGCAAAGTGGGCACAACCGGAGCCTGCACCATATATCCTTCAGCCTTCATTAAATTGAATAATTCTTTCACTATTTCCTGCGTGGACGGTAAGACTGTGTTGGGGTTAGCTGCCATAGGTGGTTGAGTGGAACTTGAGGGGAAGGCATGGTTAATCGACCCCGGCGTAGTGGAGGTAGCGTCATTTCTGAATGATGGCCCAGGTATACTAGTTGCTGAAGGGTGGTTGTTGAAAACTTGTATAGTGGGTGTTGTTTCTACCACATCACTGGTTAAAGCCGGTGTAGGGACCGGGACCTGCGTCCGTCGTCTTGTACTACGACCAACAATGCTATGTTGGAGAGCTGCCCTCCGTCTAGTTTTCCGTATGGGAGCTGCCCCATGACCTGGAAAACAATAAATTGAACAGTATCTGCGGAAAATTCCATTGAACTAATGTTTGCAACAAACATTGAATGCACCTTTTGATATCCAAGAAGATGGATTCCTAATAATCAGGAAACTCATAATAGCATTCTTGTGAAAAAGTAAACATCCCATAGGACAACATTGGGAGAAACTCCCATAATAACAGCAAGTTTATGTAATTTCAAGTGAAAGTTTATGAATATGTAAACACATGTGTTAGCATAAAATTGAGATCAGAATAACCATATAAATAGTCATAATCAAAATAGGAATATTGTTTTCAAAACCTTCCATACTATGCCAAAAAGGTTAACAAAATTGAAAGAAAAACATTGTAAAAACATAGAACTATAGAACTGCTCAAAAAAGTGTGAAACATAAACTCATGTTACCACCGCTTTAACGACACAAGTTAACTAACATGCATCATCAAGGTGTTTTCTTTTGAGCCTAAAACATTACCACACACAGTCACACATGTTAACTAACATGTATATATGAGAACTCTCATAGCAAAACATGTGAACTCACATGTAAATATTTGGCACGAACACCATGTACATTATATCGTATAGCAATGGTACACGCGTGTACACATGCAAAACAAACCCCGATTTTGAACGGGCCAAATAAATCAACCGTTAAAACAACAGAAGTCAAAACCAAAAGTACTGACCGACATGTAAAGCTAGCAATAACTCGTGAATTATGACAAAACAGAACACTCTACCACAATTGTGTCAACACATTTACTAAAAGTAACGTACGATTAGTTACTGCTGATGATTCCTCAATGTCACACGTGAAATAACCAGGAAAAGAATCTTCTTTGAGGCGAAGAGAACACGCATTGCTTACAATAACAGCTGGGCGGAAATAAGCTAGTGCGCATGTGCAGTCGACTCTATGACATCAGAGATATCCCAAAATAGAACGAGTTGAAGGTAAACATAAACAAACCAGGATAAAAAAAACTAATGAATATGCAAGACCTTACCTTGTGGGGAAAGAAAATAACTCATGCTGCGGCATATTTTAAGCCATGTAAAACTGCTCCACGCACAGAATATATGTACTTGCGCATCCCCTTAGAAGACAAGTGGACACCGTCCCTACACAAATTTTCAGATACCCCTTATGGCGCCAAAAGAAACACACCGTGGAACCCATACAGCGTTGTATTAAGGCAGAATTGACGAAATCCACATTTTCATTGTAAATAGTCACAGGTGTCACTCGAGTTGTCCGACGATATAATAATTTTAGGAACCCCACACGTTTGATGCCAAAACCAGTAACTAACCACTGGGCTATCGAAAATAGGTCAGTCACAAGTGTGCCCTTAACCCGCACATTGTCAGCACAATCTAGGTCATTGCCACCGATTTGTAATAAAACCACCGAAGGCTGAACTTGTTGAATAGTATCAGAAATAAAACGAGCGTCAAGATTAGGAATCTTACCGCCACTTTTGCCAAGACACAAGACTTGTAACTGATCCGGGTCAAAACCTAGATTTGTCCATGAACCCGTAAGGCTATCATCCAAACGGCGAATAAAACTGTGACCCAAAACGATAACTGACGACATTACAACGTACAGTCAAGTACATAAAGTTTATCTTGTATATACTAAAATCTGTGATCAGATAAAACAATACAAAACTTTACAAGTTGAAATAAAATTGACCTTGACCGTACGAACCTTGTTCCGCCATNTAGTCACAGGTGTCACTCGAGTTGTCCGACGATATAATAATTGTAGGAACCCCACACGTTTGATGCCAAAACCAGTAACTAACCACTGGGCTATCGAAAATAGGTCAGTCACAAGTGTGCCCTTAACCCGCACATTGTCAGCACAATCTAGGTCATTGCCACCGATTTGTAATAAAACCACCGAAGGCTGAACTTGTTGAATAGTATCAGAAATACAACGAGCGTAAAGATTAGGAATCTTACCGCCACTTTTGCCAAGACACAAGACTTGTAACTGATCCGGGTCAAAACCTAGATTTGTCCATGAACCCGTAAGGCTATCATCCAAACGGCGAATAAAACTGTGACCCAAAACGATAACTGACGACATTACAACGTACAGTCAAGTACATAAAGTTTATCTTGTATATACTAAAATCTATGATCAGATAAAACAATACAAAACTTTACAAGTTGAAATAAAATTGACCTTGACCGTACGAACCTTGTTCTGCCATCTTCTTTTATCAGCTTCTGAATAGGAGCTGCTGCGTCATTTGTATTTATAGTGATCTAATTTTAGCAACATATCAATGCGCGCATGTAACCTGTCGGACCGCATCACTCATACCCCAACATACCTCCTTCCGCAAATAAAAATAGTTATGTAAAAGCATGGAAGTCTGACTGCATAAATTACATTAAAACAAGTTTTAATTTATATATATTTATAAACTTCATTTTGAATACGGTTTTTTAGAAGAAATATTTTTTGTTAAGGAAGTGATTTCCCCAGATTTGGTTACCACATAAAAAAAACAAAAAAAAAACCATGATTTTTAACCCAAAATTTGACCCACGCAAGTAGTATTTTTTTTTCTTAAAACCTGTCTTAAATTAAATATCACCTACTCATTAACAGATACTCACGTTGTAGCATAGGTCGTCCAACTTGATTTTTCACAATATTTACACATGTGCTGAGTACAAAAAAAAATAGACCACATGAAAAGCTAGCTTTTGCTGTGTAGACACAGATTCGTAAATGGCCAAAAATGAAGTTTCAAGCCAAATTCGAATTTATTTATTTTTTAAATGTGAAACCCACATAGTCCAATTCATCATGTATATGCCAATTTTAGAGCTTTTTTTTAAAGTTTTGATACATGTAATATTACAGGGGATTATTCATTGTACAAAAATATCACCCATGGCAACCGTACGCTACTGTACACTGCTACCTATGTATATTTAACAATATTCTAATTCAATACCACCAATGATAGCCCGCGATTGTCCCTTTATGTTTTTCATTACTTTTTTGACACGATGTATTTATAATTTGACTGATTGACATTCAGCCGTCATCATCACATTCAATGTCAGCATGGCCCTCATCATGTGATGATGAACTTGAATTATTGCTGTCTGAGTGTTGTGTTCGTCGTTTTTTCTTTTATATCCAGCGCTTCGGTAAAGCATGTACCATCAAAATGAAATCCTCTTCTGAATCTCAATCGGCCGAAGGGATGTCAGAACCAGAATTTTGAGTGTGCTTCTGTTTTTATTAGATGATTGCTACAGTTAACAACCGAATTTTGACTGGTTAGCATTTTCTATTGGTATATAGCTTGTCTTTTCTTGGCGTTTCTGAGATTTTATGAACGAACGTAAACGATTAAAGTTGTATTTAAAGCGCTATTCGGTGTGGTTCTTCCCCATCAGATTTATGCCTAGGTTTCAATTAGTTATCAACAAGTTAAACACATCACGGTTGCACATTAAAAATCAACGGGGAAAATATTGATATTTCAAATACATAGTCGTTTTTTAATATACAATATTTTGCCACTGGAGAAACACTTCTGTGCTGCTCAGTCATGCCCTATGCCAACTACCATTGCACTTGTAACAGCAGCCTGGAGGTTTTGTAGATTATCCATGACAACTTTAAATTTGGTGTGACCTGTTGCAATCCGTCAACAAAGAAACCTATCAGACGTTGCTCTTTAATTAGTCCTTCGACCAAACTCTCTCTCTCTCTCTGCTGTTTTTTATGGAAACCCACAATCTGACATTATTGTTAGCCAATTTGTAGCTAAATGGAAACTCTCTCTGTCCTTAATACTAGTGTTTCATGGTTGCTTATCTGGAGTCGACCGATTGCTATCAAACGGCTGCGACGACTATGTTTAAAGAAAAATCCATCTAATCAGGTCAGTAAAAAGCAACTAGACAGTTCACCACTGACACAATATATGTTTACAATATAACTAAAGGGAAGAATGAAAAAGATTATCACAGTGAATAGCAGCAACACATACGAAAGGTTCCGAAATCGAGTTTCTAGTGGGAAAAAAATGAGTCTGGAAATAAGGAGATCGATTAAATACAAATTGAAAAGTCAATCCATCTGCATAATATAGTCAACAGTAGCAGAAGTGCGTTGAACACAGGAGTATGCAGATTGATTTTGGCTCCTTTTCCAGTAATTCCTAGTTGATAATCCACTTCCTTTATGGTACGCTCTTGCTCTCAATCTGATATGCAGCCTCTCTGAGTAGTCTCGGCACTTTGTGAAGGTATGCACATTTGCTAGATGGCAACTTCCTCCATGTGGTCTGCTTTTCTCTTCTTTATAAACAACTTTCTTCTTCCTAATGTCTCCCTTGACAATGCCTCACTTCTGGCCTTTGGTTGAGCATTCGCCCCTGTAAGGAAGGCTTTGAGCTCTGTCCCCTGGCCGAGACATACAAGAGACCGTAAAAATGGTAGCTTTTTTCTCCTGCTTGACGCTCAGCAATTTAGGAGTGGGGCGACTGGTTCACCCGTTGTCAGTATAATGTGAACGGTCTTGCTGGGTTTTCTCATTTTCCAGGTATAATAAAAGAAACGTGTCTTAGGGTTTTCTCCTTTTATTCCGATCCATATGACAAATAATGACCAAGTATGAATAGCAGGCAGCTGGCATTGACACCCTACAAATATACACAAATACCACTGACAAACATACTGTTAAAATATTAGATATACATATACAGAGATATACATTTTACAAATACACATACCCCATTTGTGGAATGGAGGCATTAACAACTGGGACTTCTAATTTCTAATTCCCTCCAGCACTTTCCTCAGACTACCGGTAATGTTGATAAATATTCTAAAGACAAAAATATAAACTAATTACAATCAAATGCTTTCAATTTAATCAAATACACAACTATACTACTTTTATCAAATAGAATTCATTTGATTAGTTATACACCTTTAAAAAAAACATAGCACTCCATCAAATATCTAGAAATCTGCGCATACCTTTGTTCTGTATTGGGATTTCTATAGCATATAATTATAGATCAGCTCTCCTCCAAATCTTTCTTTCCCCTAACTTTTTGGCGGCAACTACTCTGACTATATGTCTAGCTGTGACACCCCAGGACCTATGAAATTACTGAATATAGACACACCTACACACTGACCAACAGAAGTATCTATATAAATAGACAAACAAACAAACACGTGCACATGACCAACAAACTACATATTGTAGTAGAGAGGTTCAGTGAGGTAGCACTATAAAGTCGGCATTTGTTCCGCGCTATCACAAGGAGACAAACACGAACATATCGCAGCCTCCCAAAACACACACACATACACTACACACATGCATCTTGCAAACAGGGGAGGCCGTCCGTAAATGACCATAGCTGTTGATAGGTTGTTAAACAATACTAAACCAAACCATACGTCTAGACGTTATTCTTCCACGATGACGCGTCAGAAGAATATAATATTTAAACGTATGAATTTATCAAGAAATATTAAATATGAGATTTCACAATATGTGTTTGTGTTTTGTTTATTCATAATTTGGCTGTATTGAACAATCAGCGTAAACAATCATGTTGTATGGCGGACTATATGTTTTAACACTGTGTCAATGCGTAGACTTGCACAAGTTCAAGAAACTGGGACAAACTTTCAGAGTGGACTTTCAAACGTTCCAATTATTGACAAAAAATGTTGATTGAAATATAAGGTTTGAATATTGTTTTGGTCGATTTCATTGGGTGGTGGATTGAATTGATCTTGAAACAAATTTAATAAACTACTACTGCTTCGCGGTTCATTAAATTTGTTTCAAGACCATTTCAATTCATCACCCCATGAAATCGACATAGGCAAAATGCAATCCTGAAATATAGTCAATAGTAGCAGAAGATTGATTGGGGC